TCCTCCATCACTGAAGCAAGCAAGCCTCATGTTAGCTTCAAGCTGCCTGGCTGCCGGCCACCATCTTGGTTGGCAGTTAATTTGCATATCTCACTGATTAGCCAATGGGAAGGGTAGCGGATGTATGGCTAATTACCATGTTTCTCTTTTATTAGATAGGATTAGTAAATTTAATACATCAATGGAAAAAAGTTAGTTAAAAATAGGAACATTTTATCCTCGAAGACTTTCTGTACATGATGTTATAACATTTTTAAAAAGGGGCCAACCAAAGTTATAGAACAAAATGATTTAGTTCACATTTGCGGCAAGAAAGTTAAAGGGATATGAAATAAGGAAACCTTTACAGTTTTTTACTTCCGTGAAGGAGGAGGAATGCAGAGATGGGGCAAAAAATGGGTAGGGCCACTTACCTAAATAAGTAGGTGATCTACATAGTTACTAGTAAGGCAACTAAATGTATGTGACTGAAGGGCCTACAATTTTTGCTGCCTAAAATTTTACTTTTCTATTGTTTTTAACTTTCTGATGTTTAGAGTAAAAGGAATTTAATTAAAATGAATTTTAAGGTGCTCTTTGAGCAAAAGCATACTACCTCCTACTTTACTTTCCATATTACAAAATTTGAAAGTAGTGAGCTTTTTTTCAAACTAGATTTCTGAAGTGTATTGACTTTTTTTTTGGAATGGTACTACTTATGAATATGCAGTATTTTTGAAGTGTGTAATTTTTCACTGTGTGTTTATCTTATTTGGAATTTCTCGAGTTGGTATTTTATGAATCATCATTTAAAGATTAGAATTGGGAAGTTAGAGATAACATACAAGCTAATTCAGGACAGTGCTTTTCCTGCTTCTCAAAACATTTTATACATGTGCTTTTCCCTGCATGGTGCAATTTTGATTATTTTATTTTTTGTGCTTTAATCTGTATTGTTTATATTTTCTAACAATGCACGTTTCATTTTTGTAATCAGAAAAGTGAAAACTATACATTGAGGCCAAAGAAGGCCAGTGAAAAAGAGTATTTGAAGTAAAGTTGTTTGACCAAATAATTTTTTCTTTACAGACACGTCAAGTTCTTGAAGAGCTGACTGAGTTGCCGGTTATGGTAGAGCTAGCCAGTGATTTCCTGGATAGAAACACTCCAGTTTTTCGAGATGATGTTTGCTTTTTTATTAGTCAGTCAGGTATGCTAATTTTAAAGACTTGGCAAAAGGAAAGTCATTCTTTCTAAGAATTATCTTGGCAAAAATTGATATTTAAAGATAAAATGATATTGCAAATGGCAAATAGAGATTTATTTTGATATGTTATTCTTAATGAATTAGTAAAATAAACACGTTTTACACTAAAGAGCTGAATTTCCAAAGACAAAGAAGGAAAGGAGATCCTAAAAAGTAGGATCCTGTTAAAGTTTTGCTAATTTATTATTTTAAATTTTATTTAAAACGAATGATTTTTTTGTTGAAAGTGTAGTCAGTTTTTTGTTTTTACATCTAAAAAAGCATATATTAACTGCTGTATGTGTTACTTTTGTCTTCCTTTATACATAGGTGAGACAGCAGATACCCTGATGGGTCTTCGGTACTGCAAGGAGAGAGGAGCTTTAACTGTGGGGATCACCAACACTGTCGGCAGTTCCATATCAAGGGAGACAGACTGTGGAGTTCACATTAATGCTGGGCCCGAGATTGGTGTGGCCAGCACAAAGGTAAATTCTTGACTTAGTTCTTATGTAATTATTTAATCATAGTGTTGGTGAAATAGACTAATCCATATCTTGTATTTAACTTGTTAGCACTTATAGAACTCAGAGTTTACTAATTATTGTAAGACTTAAGGGTCAACAATAGATAAAACACTTGTTGTCCCCTTCATCACTTCCATATTAAGAATTTGAAAGGACAAATGTATATAACATAAGTCCATTTTGAAAAGGTCTCTGCTACTGTCCCCATTCATCACTTATATCCTCCTGCCAGGTGCATGGGTAAATATAATGTTCCCTTCTTTTATTATATGTAGTAGGGAATTAGAAAAATAACAGATTAGAAACATTCAGTTTAATTTTAATAATTTTTGAAATTTTATTTACATATTTATAGTTTCTAATAAATATGTCAAAATATACATACTACCTTTGAAAGCTTGTAAAGAGGAGTATACCTTTAGTATAGGATTTGGAAATTAAAGAAATAAAAGTATTATATAACTGTCCGTTTCTCATTAGATACTACATTCGTGGAGATTTAAAAGCACCCTCATTTTTTTTAAGGCCTAGTGAGACTACTTTGCTCTTTGAAATTGGGTTGTGCATAATATGTTAATAAAAATAGGAATCTTATTAAGTGTATATATGCAAAAATGTTCTCCACAAATATATTACTTTTATGATTACAAAATTACAGTTGTCTAATTTTCTGCTTAAGTTCAGTATTTCTTGCTGATTGTCTGGTAAGATGCTTAGGTATTGGTGGATTTGATTCTAATAAAAGGCGTGTGAAAGATGATATTAACATACATAACCACATTTAAATATTTTTTTCTTTTAAAGAACCTCATGGAGAATTTTTGTGTGGAAAATTAGTTCTTCTTATGTAAAAACTCTAATGAGTGTTTGTTGGTTACTTGGATACTGCCAACACTATACTTTATAGAAAGCTGAAACCTAAATTTTCTCTGTGTGATACTTAAAACATGTAAGATATTTGTGCTTGGGTTTCCAGTCTGTGCCAGAATAAATAACCAACTGCTCTAAACAGGAGCTTGTGGATTTCTGGACAGCTTTGACTGGGGATTGGAATCCCAGGGCCCTTTTATTCACAACGCATTGTGAAACAAGGGCTTCATGGGGTATATGTACATCCATCAATTGAATGGATGCTATTTTGTTGACTTACTTTTTATTAAATCTTTCTTAAACTGTGAGTTGCCATGGGAAATACAACTTTTTAAAATTTCTTATTGTATAGCTTATGAAAACTTTAATTTTGCTCAACATTTTGTTACAATAATTTTCAAACATATAGCAGAGTTAAAAAAATTTTACATTAACAATTCATATACCATTACCTAGATTTTACTGTTAACCTTTTTCTATACCTTTATTGCAATATAATTTTCATATTATAAAATAACACTCACCAGTTATTAAATGTATAGTTTTAGTAAATTTGGATCTGTAACTAACATCACAGTCCAATTTTAGAACACTTACTCACTTGAAAAAGTTTCCTTGTGCCCGGTATAGTCAGTCCTCATTTCTACCTCTCAACCTCAGACAACTACTATTGTCTTCTTTTATATCATTTTCTAGAAAGTTCTTAAAAAGGGAATTATATAATACATGTCATTTATAGCTGGCTTCTTTCATTTAACATGAGGTTTTTGAGATTTATTCATGTTATTTATATCAGTGGTTCTTTTTTTGTAAGTCCTTTTTTAAAAAATCTTTTTATATTGAAATCACTAGCTTTATAGGAAGTTGTAAAGATAGTACAGAGAAGTCCATGTACTCTTCACACAGTTTCCCCTAGTGGTTACATCTTACATAAGAAAATAAGTATCTTTTTAAAGTACATATTTTAATTTCTTCAATAAAATAACTCCTTTAAAAATATTAATAAGTATGGTAATTTAGTCACATTTAATTTTTCTTGGATTCTAAAGTAATTTTGTGTTCTTTAATAGCCTTAGACAATCTTGAAAAGTTTAGTCATAGACCATTTCTGAATGGCAAATATGTTAGTGGATGATCAAAGAAGCTCATCATTGGGGGCCTTGTGATGGAGCTAGCACAAGAATACTGTAATCTTCATGATGAATTCCCAGCTTTGCCTGAGAAACTGTCAGGGTTAGAAAGATATTACTAACTTTCTCATAGTATCATACCATAGATAATTTGATATATCCATAGGAATTGATGGGTATAAATGTACAGGTTCAGTGATTTTGTATGTTATTGTAGGTGTTTAGAATTTCACCACCGTGCTGACTTTGGTTGATTTTAAAAAATAAACCAATATAACTTTATTTTTGGCTGAGTAAAAGGTAAAACCAAGTTTAAAAGTTCAGAGTCAACATTTTTCTGGTAAATTCTTTCAAACCTCAATAAATTCAAAATGTGAGGTATAACTTATTTTTCTCATAATTGGTTTCCTGGTAGTTATTGAGGAAATGAAAAACATGAAACTGAAATTAAGCTGTGATAGGAATTCAATGGAAAAATATGTGCATTAAGATTATTCTGTTTAATATTTGTACTTGAAAACCAGTGTTTAGATGTTTCAGGTCCAAACAAAGAAACATTACTCTAGAGAATAACATTTTTAGTTGTGGTATAGAGAAACTGAAATACTCATTATCTGATCAGTTTGGATTAGAAACAATTTAGGTATCCCAGGCATCCAGGACACTTGATCTCTCCCTCTGTCCTGATCATATAATTTGTGATTAGTTGGCTTATTGTAAACTTCAGTAGGAAGAGGTAGACTAGGAGGAACTGACATTTAGAATATAGATGTGCTGGAGGCAAAGAACTGCAAATCCACTTCAGTGCTATAGAGAAAAAAAAATCCCAGTGCATCAGTAGAATTCATAGCAGCACAGGGACAGGTAGCTGTCTGTGGAGGAATATCTGAGCAGCTGATAGCTGGGAGGTCTAGTAAGCGGAAATAAGGAATTGCATTGAACTACTGGGAAGGTAAGGAGCATTGGTAGACTGATTTTGTTACATTGGAAGCTCAATATCCACATTCTGACAGGAAAATATTCACTAATGAAGTGATTCCTTATCCAGAGAAGAGTAACAGAAAGTCAGCATATAATCCACACACAAAAAAACACTCAACATAAATTTTCTAAAGTTAAAGTTATAGATAACATTAAAGCTGACCACACCACAGTAATCCTAGTGATTTAATAATAAATGTGTCAGTAAAAACCTCAAATACCTGAAAAATTAAAACATTCCTCCAAATAACTGTTGAGTTAAAATGATATCAGAACTACTATTTTAAAAGGCTTAGAAGAAATAATGATAATGAACATTGTGAATAAAAGTTTAGAGTATGTGGCCAAATTTATAATTAAAGGTAAATTCATAGCATTAAATGCTTATCTTTAAAAAATGAATTAAGTATTTAAGAAGCTAGAAAAAGGAAACTCAATAAAGCAATGGAGTTAAATAATAGAGAAAAGTGAATGAAGGAACTGCAAAACGGAAAGCTTCAGGACCTTCATATAGAGGGCCCTTGCTGTTCTTCTGGAATCTTCCTAGGATTTTATCTGTATTACTGTGAAGTAAAAAAGGTGGCCTTAGACTAGAATCTTTTTCAACATGATGTTTCACTATGAGTACAATGAGTTAGGATTGGCTCTCTGTGAAACATATATGCTATCTCAGCTCTAGGAGTTCTATCTAGTTTAGTAGGAAAAAATAAGTAAAACAATGGGAAAGGAGAAATAAAATTCTCCTTAGTTGCAATTGATATGATTGACTACCTGTATAGAGCTCAAGAATATCAAGTAAGCCGAAACCGGTTTGGCTCAGTGGATAGAGCGTCAGCCTGGGGACTGAAAGGTCCCAGGTTCGATTCCGGTCAAGGGCATGTACCTTGGTTGCGGGCATATCCCCAGTGGGGAGTGTGCAGGAGGCAGCTGATCGATGTTTCTCTCTCATCGATGTTTCTAACTCTCTATCTCTCTCCTTTCCTCTCTGTAAAAACTCAATAAAATATATTAAAAAAAATTTTAAATATAAAAAAAAAGAATATCAAGTAAAATATTTCTCAGTGCTTTATATAAGACATATACAAAAATACTTTATTTATAAACTTTTTAAAGTAGTGACTACTTAAAAATGATATAAATGTGTGTGTTTGGAGGGGGATTCTATTTTTTTAAAAAATATATTTTATTGACTTTTTACAGAGCGGAAGGGAGAGAGATAGAGAGTTAGAAACATTGATGAGAGAGAAACATCGATCAGCTGCCTCCTGCACATCCCCCACTGGGGATGTGCCCGCAACCCAGGTACATGCCCCTGACCGGAATCGAACCTGGGACCCTTCAGTCCGCAGGCCGACGCTCCATCCACTGAGCCAAACCGGTTTTGGCTCTATTTTTAATGGCTATAAAAAACACTTAAAATAATTTTACCAAGAAATGTGCAAGGTGCTCCATAGATATTTGTTGAATATAGATGGTAACTGTATAACTTTATAGACTTTTAAATTCCTAATTGATGGAATACCATATTTCTGGATGGGAAGATTATTTTGTAAAAAAATGACAGATCTGTGAGACGGAATCAATAGTTCTGCAACATAACTCCAGTACATTAAATGAATATCCCAAACTAGTAGAGAAAGGTTGGAGTGAAATTGAAATGAAGGGAAAATTGCTTATTTATAAAAATAGAAAAACATAAGTTAACATTTTGTACTAAAATTAATTTCAGGTGGTTTAAAAATGAAGTAAAAAAGTCAAATAAAATGGGCCCTGGCTAGTTTGGCTCAGTAGATAGACTGCCTGTGGACTGAAGGGTCCCAGGTTTGATTCCAGTCAGGGACACATGCCCGGATCCCCAGTAGGGGGCATGCAGGAGGCAATCAGTGATTCTCATCATTGATATTTCTCTCTCTCCCTCTCCCTTTCTTTCTGAAATCAATAAAAATATACTTTAAAAAAAGTCAAATAAATGAAATGTTGAAAGTAAAATAAAAAAGCCAAATAATATGGGACAATGATAACAATAGAATTAAGAAAATATAATAATACTTAACTGATGTTAGGATGGAAGGACTTTAAATTTAAAAGTACTACATAAGAGTTTAAAAAAAAATGAAACTTCTGTGTCAGTAAACACCATTATAAAAGGTTAAACCAAACTGCGAAAAAATATTTGATACATAACAATAAAGACCTTACAACCAACTTTTTTTAAAAGTAAATCTTTATTGTTCAGATTATTACATTTGTTCCTCTTTTTCCCCCCCATAACTCCCCTCCACCCAGTTCCCACCCACCCTCTTCCCTCACTCCCCACCCACTGTCCTCATGCATAGGTACACAATTTTTGTCCAGTCTCTTCTGGCATCCCCCACACCCCTTTCCCCCTGAAGAATAGCCAGTCCATTCCCTTTCTATGCCCCTGATTCTATTATAATCACCAGTTCATTCTGTTCATCAGATTATTCACTTGATTTTCAGATTCACTTGTTGATAGATTTGTATTTGTTGTTCATAATTTGTATCTTTACAATCAGCTAACATTCGTATGGGTACTCCCTTGTAGGTAACTGACTTTCTTTCTCTTGCTGCTTTTAAGATTCTCTCTTTGTCTTTTGCTCTTGGCATTTTAATTATGATGTGTCTTGGTGTGGTCCTCTTTGGATTCCTTTTGTTTGGGGTTCTCTGCGCTTCCTGGACTTACAACCAACTTTTTAAAAAGAATATACTTTTATTGATTTCAGAGAGGAAGGGAGAGGGAGAGAGGGATAGAAACATCATTGACAAGAGAGAATCACTGATTGGCTGCCCCCTTCTGGGGATCGAGCTCGCAACCTGGGCATGTGCCCTTGACCATAATTGAACCCAGGACCCTTCAGTCTGCAGGCTGACGCTCTATCCATTGAGGCAAACTGGCTAGGGCACGACCCACTTAAAAGAAAAAAAAGGCCAAAGTTGAAAATAAGTGAAGAACAATGAAGGTAATCCTTAAAAGAAGAAACATAAATGGCTAACAAGCATGAATAAAAATCTTAATTTTTTTAGATTCAAGATGTATATGGTAAAGGAGTAGAAAGTCCGTTGTCTATCAGTCAATGGTAAAAATTTGTTAAAAGGATAATTCTCAATATTGTAAAGAATGTGAAAAAGCAGTCATATCTTATATTTATATACAGCTAATGGGAATAAAAATAGTCCTGGCAGCATGACTGCAAGTTTTAAAATATTCACAAGTCTGTGGTTAAGAAAAAATTTTTTGAATTAAAGTCTTAGTTCAAGCTTTCATCAATAAAAAGTTTGTTTTTAGCCTATATGTCAGACATTATGTTGATTGATTTATACTTGTCTCCTTTATTCTCATGATTATCTTGTAAGTATTATGTACTTTTAACAGATGGGCCATCTGAGGCCTAAAGAGATGGAAAAAGTTCCTTAAGATAATTACACACTAGTAAGTAAGAAAGAAAGCATTCTGTCTTGGGAAAGTATTTATTATGTCAAAAATAAAAGCAAGTTATAAAGTTATACCTACTAAGAATTAATTTTCTAAACAATATAAAAAGGAAAAACATAGTAGAGATTAGAAGGCAGTATTCACAAAAGTTATTAATAGCATGTTATTAATGTAATTATTCCTATGGATCAAATGGCAGTTCCATTTTTAATTTTTTGAGGAAACTCCACACTGTTTTCCATAGTGGTTGTACCAGTCTGCATTCCCACCAACAGTGTACTAGTATTCCTTTTTCTCCACATCCTTGCCAGCATTTAGGCAACCAATCGGTGTTTCTCTTTCACATCCATGTTTTTCTCCCTCCCCCTTCTCCTTTGTTCTTCTCCCTCCCCCCTCTTTCTTACTCCTTCTTTCCATAAAATCAGTAGCGTGTCCTTGAGTGAAGATTTAAAAAAGAGAAAATGGACAATATATGCTTATAAAACCAATGGGAATTTGTTTGCATATTTTTAAATGAAAAACACTAAGTTCTTAAAATACAGTTGCTTTTTTGTGGTATTTTAGGCTTACACCAGCCAGTTTGTATCCCTTGTGATGTTTGCCCTTATGATGTGTGATGACAGGATTTCCATGCAAGAGAGACGCAAAGAGATCATGCTTGGACTGAAGCGGCTGCCTGGTACGAAGATGCTCTTATACTACACTTTTGTTGTCTAAGGGAGCTGTAATGGGTGTCATTTTCTTCTTGTACTTGAAGCTGTGGCTTCTAGCTGTTTAGTCAATAAATCTTTCTACTTTTGCACCTTTGTATTTAAAAATTCCTCTCTGATATCACAAGGGAATAGAAACACTGGTCTTTTGTCAGTTGCTACCAATATATTATTGTTTTTATATTGGTTCGGCTAATTATCCTTTTTCATAGATGTTGCTAATGTTACTTCTTATTTTATTTTATTTTATTTTATTGTTTAAGGTATTACAAATAGTAGTACATATGTCTCCTTTTTTCCCCCCTTGACCTCCCCCGGGCCTCCCCTACCCCCTGACACTTGCCTTCACCACCCCCTCGCCCCCACAATGTCTTGCATCTATTGGTTGTGCTTATATGCATGCATACAAGTCCCTTGGTTGATCTCTTACTCCCCAACCCTCCCCTACCTTCCCACTGTAGTTCGACAGTCTGTTCAATGCTTCTTTGCCTCTGTCTATTTTTGTTCAACAAAAATGTTACTTCTTAACAGATTTGATTAAGGAAGTACTGAGTATGGATGATGAAATTCAGAAACTGGCAACAGAACTTTATCATCAGAAGTCGGTCTTGATAATGGGGCGTGGCTATCATTATGCTACTTGTCTTGAAGGGGCACTAGTAAGTCTTCTCACTTATAATTTCAGTCTGTTGACTTATGGACCTTGTACATAGTCATACTTTTAGTTTGAATGAAATAGGTGAAACTTTTACAAGTGCTTTTGTTTTTATGCATTCTGGTTTGTTTGCCCTGAGAAGGTATAACAATTTATACTTAATGAAAAAGTGAAAATAAAGAAGAGTACATTTTAGCATGATAGCTTGGGTTTAGCAAGTAACTTTGGTTAATTTATCGTCTAGATACGACTAAAATAAAGATTAAGTTCTCTAAGTGTGGGATTTAATTCAGGTCAAACATTAACCAAGTAGAACAGTTACATGAGTATGTTCATGAGAATCTAAAATGTTGAAAAAGCCCTGGTTAGAATGTCAGCCCACACACCAAAGGGTCTTGGGTTCGATTCTTTGTCAAGGGAACATACTGGGTTGGGGATTTGCTTCTCACCCCTGGTTGAGGCATGTGTGGGAGGCAATCAGTCGATGTGTGTCTCTCTCACATCGATGTTTCTCTCTCTCTTCCCCTACCCCCTCCCACTCTCTCTGAAAAGCAATGGAAAAAATATATTCAGGTGAGGATTAACAAAAAAAATTTAAATTAAATCTTGAAAAAGTCCTTGTAGGTCTTAAAACTTCTAGTCACTGTAGATATTATAGAAATAATGATCTGTTAGCCTGTTGGCTATATTTATAGATCGGTGGTCCTTTAATACTTTTGGATAAATAGTGACTTCAGATATCTAATATTTGTGTAATGCTTAATTAAGAATGGGTTTTTGAAAAAGAGACTGAAGACTAATCTAGTTCTTTTCTATTAGAAAATCAAAGAAATCACTTACATGCACTCTGAAGGCATCCTCGCTGGTGAATTGAAGCATGGTCCTCTGGCTTTGGTGGATAAGTTAATGCCTGTCATCATGATCATTATGAGAGATCATACTTATGCCAAGTGTCAAAATGCTCTTCAGCAGGTAGTTGCTAGGCAGGTAAGTCAGGGGCTGCTGTGAGGGCACCTTGGGGAATCTAAGAGATGGGCCATTAAAGCTTAATTGAATTTTATGACATTTAAAGTGATAGACCAGGGCCCAATAGATAGCTTACAAAACATGTTGAGGTTTACATGTGAGGAATTAGATTCTCAGAGTTTTGACAGGACCCAGCTCATAGATCTCACAATAGGCAGAATTGAGACCAAAACCAAAGTCTGGCTCTCCAAATTCTGTCCTCTTTAATTAGCTTATGCTGCTCCCTTTTAGTTTAATACGTATTCTTACATGTGTATTTCAGGAGGAACTAGATTTTATATTAAAACTACTGGTGATGTGCTTAACTGAGTTTTCCTCTGATCATTTGGCTTTATTTATAAAGATACTTTTATAATTTATAATATATAATATATAATATAATATATAATCAAAAGATACTAATCTCTTCTCACAGTGTAGTTGTTATGAACGTAGGTTTTGAAGGCAGGCAGACCTGGATTCAAGTACAGATGGTCTCTGGCTTATGGTGGTTTGACTTACGATTTTTGGACTTTATAATGGTATGGAAGTAATATGCATAATAAATTACGTGAGATATTCAATACTCTGTTATAAGATAGCCTCTGTGTTAGATGATTTTTCTCAACTGTAGGTTAATATGTGTTCTGAGTATGTTAAAGGTAGGGTAGGTTGATCTAGAACAGCTGTGGGCAAACTATGGCCTGTGGGCCGGATCCGGCCCGTTTGAAATGAATAAAACTAAAAAGGAGCCGAAAGAGCGGAGGGGTCTCTTGCTCTCCCCTCCGCTCCTTCACCAGTAGCAGCACCGTACCCTTATGTAATGATGTTTACTTTGAATTTATATTAGTTCACACAAACACTCCATCCATGCTTTTGTTCCGGGTCTCCGGTCCAGTTTAAGAACCCATTGTGGCCCTCGAGTCAGAAAGATTGCCCTCCCCTGATCTAGGATGTTTGGTAGGTTAGGTGTATTAAATACCTTTTTGGCTCATATTTTCAACTTATGATGGGTTTATAAGTAGAGGAGCATCTGTATTGAGCTTGGTGTTTCTTAGTTGTATGAGCTTAAATAAATTACTGACTCCCACAGAGCTTTAATTTCCTTGACTATGAGATCAATCTGACTTACCATATAGGATTGTGAGTCTAAATAAGTCTGTGTTAGTGAGGCCACATGTGAATTACTGAATGTAAAATTTGCACATTCACTTGCTACAGCTCTTTGTTTACTTGTGATTGTGTATGTGGCTTTCTTTCCCAGGGACGCCCAGTGGTGATTTGTGATAAGGAAGATACCGAGACCATTAAGAACACAAAAAGAACAATCAAGGTTCCCCACTCAGTGGACTGCTTGCAAGGCATTCTCAGTGTGATCCCCTTACAGTTGCTGGCTTTCCACCTTGCTGTGCTGAGAGGCTATGATGTAAGTGATGGAACACTGTAGAAATTTAGGGCTGGCTTTTTACCTGAGTACATTCTAATAGTTTTCCTTATAAATATTTAGCAATAGCATTTGACAAATCCACTATCTATCTATCTATCTATCTATCTAGCTATCTATCTATCTACACATACATACACACACATACACACACACACACACACACACACACAATATATATATACTAGAGGCCCAGTGCACAAAAATTTATGCACTGGGCGGGGCGGGTGGGGGTTCCCCCTCAACCTGGCCTGCCCCCTCTCACAGTCCTGGAGTCCTCAGGGGATGACCTACTTCCGCTCCCCGCTGGGCGGGAGGCAACTGGGACGATCAGGGGAAGGTGCCACCCCCAACACCCTGCTGCTGCTGCCACTGCCAGCCGCCATGGCTCACAGCTGCCTGAGCCCCAGCCCTCACAGCCACTGAGCTGCTTCAGCTTTGTGGGAGGACATCTGGAAGACGTCTGGTTTAATTAGCATATTACCCGTTTATTAGTATAGATATAACATCTATACATATAAAAGGCTAAGTGACCAGCCGACCGACTGGCCGGCTGGTAGCTATGACACACACTGACCACCAGGGGGCAGATGCTTAACGCAGGAGCTGCTGAGCGACAGCAACTTTGCAGAGTGCCCTCTCACACTCTGGGACCCCTCGGGGGATATCGGATGGCCAGTCTTGGCCCGATCTCTGCAGGCCAGGCCGAGAGGCCCCACCTGCCAGAGGGACCCCTCTCACTCTGCAGATGCCCTTTGAGCCCCAGTGCTGCCCCAGGTGCGCCAGCCAGGGAGGGACTGCGGGAGGTTGGCTCCAGGGTGTGTCCAGCCCGTCTCACCCAGTTCCGCTCCTGCCAGCCACCTTCTAATTAATTTCCTTTCAATGTGCATGAATCTGTGCACCGGGCCTCTACTATATACATAATATCTATCTATCACCTGTTATATTTACTTGGCCCAATTTGTAGGTTACATCATAACATTTTCTTACCATAGAACTTAAAAGGAATCTTGGAGATTATAGCCACCATCAGAGATTACCCTCTTAGGGAATCTCTGCCTGTTTTTATTCTGTTTCCTAATTCTTTGTTTAGGACTATCTCACAGGTTTCAGGACTTTTACAATTCTTTGTCCCCCAGTCATTGTGACAACCAAAACATCCTGCCCTTACACTTTTGCTGTCCCCTCGGAGGCCTGCCACCTCTGGAGGCCATCACTGGACTCTTCCTGTGCAGAACTGGCTTCTTTAGGATTCTTTTTTCTAACTGATTTCAAGACTTTTAAAGAGACATTATGTGACTATATTTTCTAATCTGATTCTTTGTAGTCTATAGTAAAGATGGTTAATGAATAAGTTTTCTGTTTTTACAAAAATAACTTGCTTATAGAACACAACCACCCCCCAATCTGTATAATCTCTTTAATTTTGTCCCCCACCTCCCCCTTTTTTTTTTGGCAGGTGGATTTCCCCCGGAATCTTGCCAAATCTGTAACAGTAGAATGAGGAGCATCTGAAACTCTGGGCAATTAAGCAACACAAGACACCTTTTGTATTTAAAATCTTGATTTAAAATATCACTCCTTTAAGCCTTTTTTTTTTTTTTTAGTAAATCCTTATTTATATATCAGTTATAATTCCACTAAATTTGTGCTTTTTGTGAAATTACCTCATATTTTTCCAGTAATTTGTGGGGAAGTTTGAAAAATGGAATCATTATCAGAAACAGTTAGCTTTCATTTTCTTTTTTTAAATCATCACCTGAGGATCTTTTATCCATTGATTTTTAGAGAGAGAGTGGAAGGGAGGGAGAGAAGGAGGGAGAAGGAGAGAGAGGATGGAAGAGAGAGAGAGAGGGAGAAACATCAATGTGAGACAAACACACATCGATGGGTTGTTTCCCATACATGTCCCGACCAGGGTGGGGATCAAACCAGTAACCCAGGTACATGCCCTTAACTGGGAGTCAAACCTCAGACCCTTTGGTCCTTTGGCTGACATTCTAACCACTGAGCAAGACTGGCCAGGGCTAGCTTTCATTTTCTTTAAAAGATGCTGGGTGTTGGATTTCTGAACTCTGCTTCAATCTGAGAGGATTGTGTATTTTAAAAGTAATTGACATTTGTTTTACCATGCTTTTATTCATTCAGACCAATGAAAGAGGAGTGCATTTATTAGAAGATCTAAAGCCAGTGGCAATGTATTTGGACATTTGATTACAGTTTTGCTAAGTTATATATAAAGACAAGATGCTATGATTTATTTTGAAATTTGTTAGTGTGCTTAAAAACAAACTTTTCTTGGTGGGATTTCTACCTAAGTTAAGTTAATATTAGTCTCTCAAATTTATTGTTTGTTATCTATAGGTCAGGGTAGTTTAGGAAGCTAAATAGTTATCGTAGTGCATTGGTTTTCTCCAGTCCTTAACAGAAAATATTTGTATAATTTCATAGCACAAACTAAATTTGAGCTGCTTTGGACAGCTAACAATATAATTTTAAATTTGAAGATGGAATATATATTTATTGGATTTCCGACTCTGTTTTTTCATCTCTTAAAAATGGTTTTTATTTTCTTGTATCTGTAGTTTTTTAATCACAGCTAAATGACATATTTTATCTTGTTCTTTGAAGTCACCACACAGAGTTGTCGTCAAATGTCTCAAATTAAATCAGTATTGATATAGTCAGAATTCGCTTCAACTTTGTCCCAAAGAATTTCCTGCAATTAATTTAAAGTCCCTTCACTACTTTCTATAAAACTAGTACCTTCCTGCGAGTCTGGAAGCTCTTTGCAATAGTTTGGAAGATTTGCAAGTCTATTGACTAATCATTCGACTCTATATGGTGGGCTATACTTAGAAAAAACTATGTGCTTTACACTGAAATTAATGAAGGATTGCGTCAAATTCAGTACAAGCAAAACTTGGGAATATTGCGGGTTTGGTTCCTGACCACCGTAATAAAACCAGGATTGCAGTAGACGAGTCGGAATCCTTCTGCTGGTTGAGGGTCTGGCCTTCAGTTTGTAAAAAAACATAACATCTGTGAAGCACAATAAAGTGAAGCACAAAAAAGTGAGGTATGCCTGTATTATTTCCTAGGTATTTTTCTCTCTGTATTTTTTGTAATCTACCCCTTCAATTTATTTAGGAATGAAGAAGATATAAATAAATTGATGTTGAGGTGACTTTAGCTGCTTAGTGCCAGAAATGGAACTTAACAATTTAGATTAAAATATTTAGAGTAGACTGAGTTTGATACTGAAAATGTTGTAATTTCTTCACGGAGCTTTTTTGGCCACATCTTGGGGATTTTATAGCAAAGGGTATTTATGTTTTGGTTAAGTCCTCTTTCAAAAGTTTTCACTTTAAAATTGTGAAGGTAAGATATTTAGCAAATTATGTAAGCCCAGTCTATTCCTTTCTCTGTTTTTGAACTTCTTGATGAGATGAAGATTTTCTGACAGCCATTGCTGCAAGAGAAGCATAGAATTCTGCTTGTGTATCACAGAAAGGGCATGCGCCCTGACTGGGAATCGAACCTGGGACCTCTTGGTAATGCTCAACCACTGAGCACACCAGCCAGGCCATAAGCCCTTTTCAGGCCTGGGGTTGTCTAGCATTTAACACAGGGCCCAGGAAATGATAGTTACTTCAGAGTCAGCTTTTTGATCTTTCTTTAATCACTTATGCCTTAGGAATAAATGAGAAGAGAGAAATAATATTAACTGATTTTAGTTTGTTATAACTATGTCAACAGCCTGTTATGGGCAAGTCACTATGCTAGGAACTGAAAGGTGCATCTTGTTTAAAGCAAAGCCCATTTGTCTCCAGGTAGGCTCATCACAAGTGAAGACTGGGGTCATTGAAAGGGTAAGAGAGTACCCTTAATGTTAAGTGCTATGAGTGGATTTCACTTAAATCATGATCCAAGTTTGGTGATATATCATGCTCAGAAGAGGTGAAGTGCATTTTGTAGAGTAAGCTGTTACCGTCACAGGCTATATGTAGATCCTTGTATCTGCGGTTCACTAAGGAACAGCACTCATTAAATGCAAAGGTGAAAAACAAGCATCAGTACTACTAAAAGGGAACTGACACAGGGTAATGTGCAGATGGGGCTGTTGGGCAAGGGAGCTAATACAGATTTTCTTTCTTTAGTTTTTTAGAAAATTGCTTCTGAGATGGTATTGTCTTATCCTTTTGAACACATACAGGTCTCTTGGCCTGAATTAATTATGCAGATGGAAGGAAAGGAGCCTTTTTCTTGGTTCCGTGGTGATGTTCCTTTGATTCTTCTGTTAACTCTTCAAGGGAGGAAAACCAGCTGAAAGTTTGCTTTAACAAACATTTTAAGAAATCCTTTGGGGTCAGTTTTTTCTCTTATTTTTTTTTTAATTAGAATATGCTATAACAATAAAAGGGAAACATTAATGTTAATTATGGTATGATACAACCTGTGATTTTTCTGAAAAAGTACAATGTCATTGAAAAGTGTTTATTTCAAAAGAATTCATAGTTCCCATTGAATTTGTGAAGGCCAAAGAAATTGAAGGAAATGGTCAGTAAAGAAAGATATTGTAGTCTTATATCCACACATTTTGTAGATTTTTCTATACCAGGATATTAGATAGACTGTTTTACCCATAGAAGCATATTTCAGGGTGGGGGTGGCCGGGGGGAGTCAATGGGGAAAAAGGGAGACATGTAATACTATATGTAAAACTTTAAACAATAAAAAAGCATATTTCAGATTGCTTAGTTTTTAGTGTTAGAATCGAATTTGGAAGTTATAACCCTTAAATAATTTTTCTCCCACAATATTTAAATATTGTTAATATATCAGTATTTCCTTGGCTTTATTAATTTAACCACATCTTCAGATCTGTGACATGGTAACCAATAGGACTGATAATATTAGATTTGAGCCAATAATATCTAGGCTTAAAATAAAATCCTAAATAGCAAGATGGTAAAGTTATAACATATTAACTTGTAGGTCTATAATAGGCTGATAAAAGTGTTAGGGAACATACCATAAATAATGGCTAGTGAGAACATTTTAGGAAATTCTTGAATTACCTTTCTTACCATACTAGTTTTCAGAATGAATATAGAAATGATCCTGTTAGCTTTTTAAATGTTATGTGATTGAATTTTTTTGTTTAAAACTTTTTGTATTTGTTTATATTGCTCGTGAGCTGGAAATTTTAGAATCATCCTTGCTGGTTTAGTTTCTGTTCTTTAAAATGAATGTTTAGTTAACTGAGCCAATTGGTCATTTCTTCCTCATGCCTTGTAAGTCCAGTCATTCTAATCCTGAACTGTGAATAAATTACTAAAACTTTCTGAGAATTGCATTTTGAAGCAATTTGCTAATATTTGAAATGCATACATGTTTGTAATTGTGTCAAAGATTGTATTGTACTAAGAATGTAGCCAGTGTTTACTTGAAGTGTTAGTAAACATTTCTGATGTTAAAAGTTTATTCGTTATTGTTGCTTTTAGAAAGAAGACATGATTGCATTTAATATAATCAAATGTGACATGTCTCTGCTCCAACTTCACAGGTGTTTTAGAAAGGCTCTACTCTTCTGATGTCATACTGCATGCATGTACTTTCTCAAGTCTTAAAAAATTTTTTTTAGCCGAAACCAGTTTGGCTCAGTGGATAGAGCGTCGGCCTGCAGACTGAAAGGTCCCAGGTTCAATTCCGGTCAAGGGCATGTGCCTGGGTTGTGGGCACATCCCCAGTAGGAGGGAGATGTGCAGGAGGCAGCTGATCGATGTTTCTCTCCCATCGATGTTTCTAACTCTCTCTCTTCCTTCCTCTCTGTAAAAAATCAATAAAATACATTAAAAAAAATTTTTTTTAGTAATGTGTTGCTTCTAGCAAATTGCCAGGGTACACAGTGATCAGTAACTTTAAGTTAATTGGTAGTTGCAAACGAAGGATATTTAAAATGGGTGAGTAGCAAGACAGCATGCCCAGTTGACTCTTGAACAACACAGGTTTGGGCTGAATTGCAGATTTTTTTCAATAGACTATAAATGTGTTTTCTCTTCCTTATGATTATCTTCATAACATTTTCTTTTCTCTAGATTCCTTTATTATAAGATAGTATAATACATAAAACATACAAAGTTTGTGTTAATCAAATTTATGTTACTAGTAAAACTTCTAGTCAACAGTAATTATTGTGTTTTTTTGGGAATCAGAAGTTACATGTGGCTTTTTGACTGGGGTGGAGGGAATTAGCGCTCCTTCCCCCCATGTTGTTCAAGGGTCAATTGTACTCCAAATTTAAAGTTTCTGTAGATCTGGCAATTTGTTAATCATAGAACAAAGATTCCTTTTATAGGATCCTGTTGTAAACAGCAAGCCATAATCTCTGTCTTCAGTGCTCACAGCACTTGCTGTGTTTTGCAGAATACCGGTATACCAGGGTGGTTTGAATGAATAGATGTGCTGTTTTGCCTGCCCAGAGAATTGAGCCCAGTCTCTTGTCTCTCTCACTCTGTGTTGCTCTGTAGCAAAACGTAGAGCTGCCCCCCAGCAGGGATCATTTTTTCCACAGGACACATTTTTGACATAAAATTCAGCTTTACTCCTAAGTGAGTAATTGCCTTTAAATCCTCCTCAATTGGCTGTCAGTAAACTGCGTGCTTATTAAAGGCCAAGGAACAATTTCCCTGAGTTAAGAGGCCACTTTTCATTGGAGTGGCATTTAGGGAAAAACAAATTCTTTCATTTTTTTGGATGAGGGAACGAAGTTCTTATTGAGTTTCATTAATCCGAAGGTAA